ATCTCCCAGCAGCCAATTAAAAAAAAAACACACAAATAATTGCACAAATAAAAAGATCCACATTCTTTATCCTGCAGCTTCATATTAGACAACAGAAAATAAAACAAAGTGCCTAAATATAAAGTGCTAATCATTTTAACACATAAAGTGCAATCAATACTAAATAGTAAGGAAAAAGTGTGCACCTGGTAAGAAACTTTACATTTTAAGTTTTTTATGAAGCCATATAACTATTAAGGAATACCCAACGGGAGCAATTAAAGAGAGCAATGGTGCAAAGTATGGCATCCCTGTCCTGGATGACTTCAAAGGGAGCAAGAGGTGGTCTCTTCCCTTAGTGCCGTATTTAAACTCCATGTCTGAAAATTAATGTGTGACCTGCCAAGTGGATGTATGCAAAATCATCACTTCTGGTTCATGCTAATACAACACTACCTGTTTCAGTTATGTTCCAGAGTTTACTTGTTTATTAATTCCTACAGGAGAAATGGACACTGGCAACAAAAAAGTTAGTAGCCAGCACAGGATAACTCCTTCCTACAACCATCATGCCTCAGTTGTTGCTAGTGTTCTCAGGAGAGAGGATGTGTTTTCTTCAGATCTGCTGTTTGGAAGATTTCTACTATCTACAGCTGCTGCTAGATTCATGCCAGATATATGAAATCCTGGATAGTTATGCCAGCCAGCTAACAGCACTGGTAGATTCATACCGGATCAACAAGAAAGGGTTTTTTACTTAACACCCAGCTCCTAGATCTGAGGGGGAGCTTTTAACGCACTCCATGAACCTTCAAAGTTTTATGATAAAAACAATGAGGGGAATTTAGCAAAATTGGAGCAGACAAAATCTGTTGTTCAGTGAACATGTGAGAGGCAGCTCCTTTTCCATTCATGCCTATAGCGAACCCTCCTAAGCTGCCTCTGCTAAAAGCTCATAGTCTCCTGTGGCTATTGTTAAGCTGTAGATTTGTATATGTCATCCCTACTGTCAGATATTAGTTAATGTGTTCCCTTCCCTTGAAGTTCCA